ATTTTTCTCAAAGAACCAGCTTTTTGTTTCATTGATTCTTTGAATAGTTTTATTTGTTTCTAATTGATTGATTTCAGCCCTGAGTTTGATTATTTCCAGCCTTCTGCTCCTCTTGGGTGTATCTGCTTCTTTTTTTTCTAGGGTTTTCAGTTGGGCCATTAAGTTGTTTGTATGTGATGTTATGAATTTCTTCTTGCAGGCACTTAGTGCTATAAATTTTCCCCTGAGCACTGCTTTCAGTGTGCCCCATAAATTTGGGTATGTTGTGCCTTCATTTTCATTGAATTCTAGGAAGTCTTTAATTTCTTTCTTTATTTCTTCCTTAACCCAGCTGTCGTTGAGTAACAAGTTGTTCAGTTTCCATGTGCGTGTAGGCTGTTTGTTATTTCTATTGTTGTTCAGGTCCAGCTTAAGTCCATGGTGGTCAGATAGAATACAAGGGATTATTTCAATCTTTTTGTATCTGTTGAGGCTTGCTTTATGACCAACTATATGGTCTATTTTGGAGAAGGAGAACAATTCTTCAGAGATAAAAATCAAGATCTTTTCAGCCACATCGAGAAAAATGACAAGTGGCAAAGAAAGAGGCAGAGAGTTCTAGAAGCTAGTCTTGCATTTTCCACTCTGAGTGATTTTAGAAAACTGAGATTCACAGAAGGTAGAGTTTGTTTTATTTGAATGGTTGGCATGAAGCCAATTATTTTAAATTTGTTAAAAATATCAAGCTGAGTAGTTAAGTCAGCTATTTGGATGTTGGTGGTTTGAATGAGAATGTCATCCCCCATAGGCTCAGATATTCCAATTCTTGGTCCCCAGTTGGTAGCACTATTTGAGAAGGCTTAGGAGGTGTGGCATTGTTGCATAAAGTAAGTCATTATAGATGGGCTTTGAGATTCACACTATTTTTAGTTCACACTTTATTTCATTCTTACTGTTCAAGATATGAGCACTGTTTTCTGCCTCTGCCACCATGCCTTTGCTCTACTATCATGGACTCTAATCCTCCACTATGATAAGCCCAAATAAACTCTTTCTTCTATAAATTGCCTTGGTCATGGTGTTTTGTTACAGCAATAGGGAAAATAACTAATACTGTTGTGAATAAATAGCTCCCAAATTTGAATGGGATTAACATAAGAGTGAGTAAAGGCAATATAGTTTACTCTAGGAAATGTTATTTTCTTATTTATTTATTTATTATAATTTATTCACTTTATATTCAGATTGTAGCCTCTCCCTCATCTCTTCCCAATCCCACCCTCCCTCCCTCTTCCCCCATCCCCATCCCCTAGACTACAGAAAAGGGGAGCCCTCCTCCCCTACCATCTGACCCTAGCCTATCAGTTCTCCTCAAGACTGCCTGGATCCTCTTCCTCTGTGGCCTGGTAAGGCCACCTTGCCAGGGAGAAGAAATCAAAGAGCAAGCAACTGAGTCCATATCACCCCTGCTCCCCTTATTAGGGAACCCTCATAGAGACTGAGTTGCCTATAGGCTACATCTGAGCAGGAGGGCCTAGGTCCTCTCCATGCATGTTTCTTGGTTGGTGCATCATTCTCTGCAGCACCCCCCCACACACACACACCCAGGCCCAGATTTCTTGGTTCTGTTGCTCTCCTTGTGGAGCTCCTGTCCCATCCAGGTCCTTCTATCCCCCAATTCTTCCACAAGACTCCCTGCACTCTTGGTATACACTCACTTATAAGCAGATATTAGCCATATACTACAGGACAATCATACTAAAATCCACAGATCTAAAAAAGCCAAATAACAAGGAGGAACCTAGGGAGGATGCTTAATTCTCATTCAGAGGACAAACATAATAGACACCAGAAGTGGTTGAAGAGAGGGAACAGGATGGGAGCCTACCATAGATGTCCTCTGCAAGACTCCACCCCACAGGGGATTGAAGCAGATGCTGAGACTCACAGCCAATCTTTGGGCAGAACACAGGGAGTCTTGTGGAAGACGGGGGTCATAGATGGTTTGTGTTCCAACAGGTGAGAGAAGACAGCAAAGTTAGTAACTAAAGAGCAAACCTGGAAGCCCCTGCGGAGGGAACACGACAGCCAGTGTATCAGTGGTGACCATGGCTGGTCGATGTATTGTTTTGTTTTGTTTTGGTCTTCTTTGGTGTGCTATGGTGACTCATGTCCTTACACTTAGACAAAAGCCTAAACTCAAGATGCTTTACTGCCTACTAGATCTTGGGCGATAGAGCAAATAGAATAGCATCTAAATTGGGACTGAAGCATAAAAAGAATAGTAAAGTACAGGGTGGGAGGTTGAAAATGCATCATGTGACAGACATCGAGGCTTGTTGACCTTGCAAGAACACCTGGAAACGATGAGAAAGGCATAGGGCTACTTACAACTTCTGGGGTAAAGTTCAAGCTATAATTTCTTTTTTCCTTAAGCTTGTGGGCTGAAGAGATGGCTCAGTGAGTAAAGTGCTTGCCACGTGAAGACCTGAGTTCAGATTCCCAGGATCCATGTGGAATCAGATACCACTGTGCCTATGGAAAGATGGGAATAGGAGAAAAGCAAGAGACTTCCTAGAAGCTCATGGGTTTGCCAGCATCGTACAGGTAGTGACAGACAAGAACCCCTGCCTCAAAGTGAAGAATGGCACACGCTATAGCGTCTGTGAGCTTGCGTGCGCACATACACCATACACTCACAGTTTTTTTTTTTAAGACACTCACAAGAGTCCTTAGAAGGACTCACAAGTCCTAAGAAGCACTCACAAGAGGTTGAGATGTTAAACTACTGAAAAAAAATCCACCATTTCATTGTCATAAAATAAAAAGAGAAAGGCTGGAGAGATAACTCAGTGCTTAAAAGTGCTTCCAATTCTTTGAGAAGACCTGAGTTTGGTTCCCAGGACTCACTTCAGGAATCTCACAACTGCCTGTAACTCTAGCTCCAGGACATCCAATACCCTCTTCTGATCTTCTTGAACATTCTCACATATGACACATAATCACTGACACATATAAAAAAAATTAAAGCAATACAAAAATAGGATGGTCCTCACTGACATCATTTCTCCAAATGATGTAAATATAGAAAAGCAGGAGAAATGAAGTTTTAAGGAGAAATGTAAACACCATCCCCTACTATAGAAATACTAGCAAACGCTGCAGAAGCACAAGTTCAGTATCAGAAACTAGATGTAACTGGATAATGCATAATAGCCCCTGGCAAGAGGTGAGGTCATTTACTTTTAAAAGTGTGTTGGATAAAGTTAGCTGTCTCATTCTCTTCAAGAAAGCAGTAAGAAGGCATTTTATTCTGACACCAAAATGTCAGAACTGTTTCCACAAGAGATTTGCAGCCCTGCCCCAGGTGAGTACACAGGACATGGAATCTGGGGCTGAGTAAAAAGCAGGCAAGATCCTGGGGAAAAGTCAACCCGAATAATAGACTGAAGAGTAGAGGGAGGGAAAGCTGTAGTCAGGATATAGTGTATGAGAAAATAACTTATTTTAATAAAAGGTGAAAGGAAAAAGAAAAGAAGGAAAGAAAGAGAGAGAAAGAAAGAAGGAAGGAAAGAGTAGAAAATAATTGTGGAATTCATTTCTAAAAGATAGTCCACAGTTTACCCTCCTGATCTAGGATTCTGTGGAGGAAGACCAAACAGGGAGAAAGAAGCAGGTGGCTTTCTCTCAGATGACAGAGACATCAGGTCCTCACTCCCTGCCTGCAGTTCCTCACAGTCCCAGATGTGGGCTCACATAACATACCATACAAGACAAAAAGAAAAAAGAAAAAACAAGAAATTATGAAATATGCTCAACTATGCAACAAGGACATTTGCTCAACCATGTTCGTAACAGCTCTATTTGTAATTACCAGAAGCTGGATACAAGCCAGATGTCCCTCAACAGAGGAATGGATGCAGAAATTTGTGGTACATTTACACAATGGAAAACTACTCAGCAATTAAAAACAAGGAAATCATGAAATTTGCAGGCAAATGGTGGGAACTAGAAAAGGTCATCTAGAGTGATGTAACCCAGAAGCAGAAATAGACACATGGTATACATTCACTCATAAGTGGCTATTAAACATATAATATAGGATAAACATACTAAAATCTATTCTCCTAAAGAAGTTAAACAAAAAGGAAGACCCTAGGGAAGATGCTAAATCCTCATTCAGAAGGGCAAACATGATAGACATCGGAAGCAGGAGAAGACAAGGAACAGGACAGGAGCCTACCACAGAAGGCCCCTTAAAAGACTCCACTGATTGAAGTATCAAAGCCGGGGCTGAGACTCATAGCCCAACTTTTGGTAAGGGGAACAGGGGCTTTCTCTGGCATGAACTCAGTGGCAGCCTCTCTGATCACCTCCCCCTGGGGGTGCAGCCTTGTCAGGCCACAGAGGAAAATAACGCAGCAAGTTCTGATGAGACCTGATAGGCTAGGGTCAGATAGAAGGGGAGGAGGACCTCCCTAATCAGGGAGGGCCATAGGGAGAGAAGGAGGAGGGAGGGTGGGATTGGGAGGAGATGAGGGAGAGGGCCACAGCAGGGATACAAAGTGAATAACTTGTAATAAATAGTAATAATTAATAAAAAAAAATGCAAAAAAAGAAATTCCATAGGGAAGTGTAAGCAGATATCTAACATTTAAGGAAACTAACACCATAAAGACAAAAAAACCAAATTATTGAATCAAGGATTTTCATTTTTAACATATTTTTGTGACCACTCTACATGCTCCTATTCCCATTTTTTTCAGTCTTGTGTTTCAAGTGACTGAGTTTTTAAGTATGTTTCAGTGTTTCACTTTGGGTTGAGCTGCTTGTGAATGAATGAAGTTCACGTGTACCAAATGGATGCTGTAAGGAAGCAGCTAACTCAGAGATACTTTTTTAAAAAACCTAATTGTATGACTGGCAGAATGTGGAGCAAATGGAAATTTTGCCATAATGCTGTGCAAGTCATTTAGCAATTGACTCTCAGGATTCAGCAGATGATTCTGGTCCTTTGATTCTTATGCATCAACAGGAGAAGATGTCTCCCCTTTGTCCTCCAACTCACTGTAAATTGGTGAATAAACATTTAATTCTTCATAAAGACGATCATCTGTGGCCTGATAAGGAAAAAAAAATCCTATATCAATTATCCAGAACTTTCCAATTCTAGAAGTCTTGTCACAGATCTGTCTCTTCTTCTGTCTTTTGAATTTCACCTTCCTCTCACAACACTCAAATTATTCCCTTAAAGTCCAGAAACCAAATGAGATGTCCAGTGGAGGCTAAAGGAAACCATGTGGGAGACAATTTACTGATGTTCTGCTGTGTCTGAAGTGTTGTTTTACTGTCTGACTTGGGACAGTGGTCATAAGAAGTGGAGAGGCTGGGGTGTCTGAAAGTGAACATAGAAGGTGGTGGTGGGCTCCATTTTTAAGATTTACGTTAGTAACAGCGGGTGATAATATAACAAATATGCGCAGCAGGTGACAATGCAGTTGCCACCATAAATCGAGAGGAAAAGAAACTTCAAGGCTTATGTAGAGCAGTAAAAAAGTGGAAAGAAAAAATATTTTTTTTTTGAAAAATAAAAAGAAAGGGAGAGAGCAGAAGAAAACATAACACGCTCTTTGGGGATAAAAAAGGAAAGTCTAACCACTGAGTGTTTCCACTGAACACTGCTGATAACTCACTTCCCACATGCAACCCCTTTAAAGCACCCACAATTTCTGTAGTTATAAAGATTCCATTTGTCTAACCTTCACAGGATTGTGCTATGACCATGTGTCACTTCAGCATGTAAAACAAGATTTGCAATAGAAGATATGAAAGCCAGGTTTTTTGAGAAATAGGTTTTCAGGAAAAAAAAATAATAATAATTCCAGAAAATTCAGGCCATGTTTTAAAAGAATAAAAGCACAAAATAGCACACTAGTCAGGATTTCCTACTGACCTTTTTCCTTTCAAATTCTTCTCCAACCTTATAGATAGTGAGCAACACAGCACTGAAAAAGGCCAGGACAGTGAGAAACAGCATCATCAACACCATTTCCTGTCGAACAACAACCATCCAAAAGGCAAAATTGCAGACAGATGAACTCCCTTACAGGCGCCCCTCCTTTCACCCCCCGTTCCCAGAAGCAGACATTATAAACTCACACACACACAGGAAACCAGGAAGTGGCTGCTTGGAGATGATGACTCCAAGCTTAAGAAATGTGGCCAGGAGTAAGGCCATCACCACCCACCCAGCCAACCACCCCCGGAAAGTACAGAACTGTATGATACGAGACGGAGATTTCAAAGGGAGGAATTGTGCCTCTGGGAAAACAAAAGAAGGGATGAGTGGGTCATAATAAGTCAGGAACCAGAGCGTTAGCATTTTCACTAGAAATACATACTGTGATAAAAGAGGCCACAAAGCATCCGTCGTCCTCATTTAGATCCTTACAATAGTTCATATAAGCGGAGCTGTTGCTCAGATTAAGGATCAGTATGACCATCCCTACCCCTGCGGCGATGCTGCTGAGGGTGTTTGCTCCCAAGCTTCCTCTCACCTGATAGCAAAGAACATTCAGCCCTGGGGTTGCATGTGGCAGCAGGCTATCTACTGGTCTGGCCTTCAGAGCTGGTCCTGTACAGTAACTCAAAGCTGGTTCAAAACTCTAGTTAAATAGGGAACTCTTGCAAAGCTGCTGATCATCTGGCAAGTGTCTGTTTCCCTCTGAGATTGAATTTTCCTCTGAAAAGCATGTAGCTCAGCAGTGGACCACAGGGTTAAGCATTGCAGAGGGTCAGAGGCTCAATCCCCAGCATCTCTCTCTCTCTCTCTCTCTCTCTCTCTCTCTCTTTCACACACACACACACACACACACACACACATACACACACGACTCAATCACGCGTAGTCTGCACTCAAGTCATCTCTGTTGGAAACTGATTACATAACTAATCATAAGACTCTATTTAAATGCACACAAGGACAATATCAGTTTCTGCCTCTTTTAAATGATGTCAAAGTGATCAAATTTCACTGTTTATCCACACAATTCATGTTTCTAACAATTTTATCCGACTTTTGCTGCAAAAAGCCTTTCAGCACAAAGGGATTGAGAAACCCACATATCTACACTCTATTATATAGCTGATACTGATGTGTCTCTCTTAATAGCCCTAAAATTCCACTTTTCTTGCCTTGGAAGAATGAATGAAATGAAAACATAGCTGTGACTCACCAGATACAGTATGTTCTTCCTTTCAGACATAATTGTCAAAAATCCAGACAAAATAAACTGTCCAAAGAGAAACAGAAGAGAAATCAAAGTGAGTCAGTGCTCTCTTGGTGTATTCCTTCCCCACCCTTGAAACACAAAAGCAGGTTGTAGGGGTTCCGCAAGGCTAGAAACCTCCCGTGAGACCAGCATTTATCATTTCCTATAACGCGCTTCTCAAAGCCGACTAGTTATACAAATCATGCGAAAGCATTGATAAAATACAGGTTCTGAGCTGAGGGGCACATGCCCGCTATCCCGGCACTCAGGAGGCTGATGCAGGAAGGTTGTAAGTCTGAGGAAAGCCTGAGCCACACAGAAAGAAAAAGGAAAAGAAGCACTAAGGCTCTCAGCTGCTGTACAGCTTTAACAGTCTTCTCAATTATTGTGATGTTTGATTAATATCATCTGTCTCACACTGTCAGCCTGGCCAGAGAAGGTATCCACGCCCTGTGTAGCTATGGAGTCTGATATGCAGCACATAGCCGTATAGTTAGCTAGGAAAATGGACATTTGCCAATATTTGGTAAAAATAAAAAATTGAGACCTCAAACTCAGAACACCCTCTGAGAAAATGAGATTTGTATGTCCAGAGTCACTTAAAGAGCCAAATATCTGAGCCTAGGAGATGCTCCAGCAGGCAGAGTGTTTGAACACAACACAGGCCCAATGACCCAAGTTCAATTCCTGGATCTCACACGGTAGCAAAAGACACCTGACATGTAAAGTTGTTCTTTGACCTCCACATGAGCACCATGATGCTCATGACATACACACATACACATGCAAACACACACACACACACACACACACACACACACGAACAAACACACACATGCAGAGAGAGTGGGGAAGAGAGAATAAATAAATTTTAAAGCTAAATGTTTGAAAGCAAAATAAAAAGTTCAAGGAAAACATGGTAGGTGGTTAAGAATCTTCTTGAGCACATGACCAAGAGGTCTAAGAACTACACACTTAGCAGTGTATCAAACCAATGTGATAGTTTCCTTAGATTTAAATATAGCTCCATAACTGAACTATAATACACAATAATTTTGTGGAATGAAGGAAGGTAGGTGTAAGAGACATTGCAGCATACAAATTCCATTTCTACACAGCTCTATAAATGGAAAACTAATGTTCCATTATAGTGATTCCTTCAGGATGAAAAGTCACGGATCAGAGAGAGACGGGACAAATTGTAGGGAAGCGAATGGAACTTTCAAAATCATAAATAAGCTTGTTGTATTGAAGGTGGCATATGAGCTAATATTTTTTTGTGTGTGTATATATGAGTCAAATTTTATCAGATTCTACACCTTCTATACACAGAATTATTCTATACACAGGATGTGCTCTTTATTGTATGTGCACCATACATATATAAAGCTATATGTCCTTGTGATCTCATTCTGTCGACCTGCTTTCCAGACAGTATGATGTTGAAAAGGAATTTAGTAAATTAGTGGCCGAAAGGCCTGGACAGATGAATATTGTTAATATTGTTAATATCCAATATTGTTAATCTGTTCTCACATGAGCAATATCTTAAATATAACTTTTTATGTTATTGTCTTTTTTTTAGATTTTTTTAATGTATGTGCAAGTATGTGTATATGTCTGTGTATCTTTTGCCACATGTGTGAAAATGCCCAAGAAGTTTAGGAGAAGGTTCTTATTCTTTTGAGCAGGGAGTTGGAGGTGGTCATGAACAAATGACATGGTACCAAGAACTGAACCAAGGTCCTGTGGAAGGACAGCAAGTACCCTTAACTACTAAGGCCTCTCTCCAGTACTAACATGTCTTTATTAACAGATAAAATGTATGTACTTATAATGTAATTTAATTAATAAATAGTGCTAAGGGTATTTTCTTGAATGCAAGTCTTACACAAATCTTTTAACTTTTTAAATAGTTATGCACTTATTCTCTTAAATTTTCATACAGCCACAAGTCTTTTAGCTAATAAAGGTATGTTAATGGTTTAAAGCACATTTAACTGTGGTAAGAATCTTTTAATGTTAATTGCTCTTGTTAATGAGTATATACATAGGAAGAGCTCTTTGGAAACTACATTTATGCTGTGTGCATATGAGCGCAGAACTGTAGATATTGTTGAAACTCGAGACATAAGTACTTAGATTTGATCAAAATAAACTCTCTGGTCAGCATTATTTCAAAAACAATTACAGATATGTTCTCACCAGAACCGCTCCCCAGAACGGATAGCCTGTTCTGTATAATAAAAGCACTTCCTCATCAAAGTCTGAAGTGTGAAGCACAGAGCAGACGATTGTTCCAAAGTAAAGGCATATCAAACCAGCCAGAATCTGTGTCACCTGTGGGAAACATGAATTATATAAAGTTAGGATATATTTTCTCAAGGTTGTAATTTCTCTGTAAGACTGAATCTGAGAAATCTCTTTAGGGTCATAGGCTTCCCTTAGATTGACCTAGATGTGAGAATTTTCACTGTCTTCTATTCACTATGAAAAATAATTGAACTCTGACTAGTAGAATCTAATGCATACATTATCAGCACATGTGACAATCTTTATTTACATAGTTTTGATGAACTTGAGTAATTTTTCTATCTAATTAACAACAGACATTGAGTGTTCTTCATTCCTGTTTTCCATTCGTGACCCAGTAACTTAAAGTCTTCAAGAGAAAGGGCTTCTCTCTTCTTCCCAGAGTGTGTAAAATATACCCTCAATTCCTCACCTAAAAAGAATGCTATAGGACCTATCACTCCTCATCAGCTCACGAAAGATAATGTTAATACAACTAAATACTCTTTCCTGGAGCTGGCACTCACCCCCAGGAACTCCAACTCTCTCTTCAGTAATGTCTGCCATGTCTGCTGTGGAGGGGACAAGACTGGCTTCTCTGGCAGAGCTTTCTCAGCAGATGCTTCCAAGAGTTCAATGTCAGGCACACTGAAATTTACAAAAATTCAATCATACAAAAATCCTCTAATTCCCCGTGTGATGCGGTTAATTGTCAGAAACTGGAGAGTTGCTTGTTAATTGCTTCTTTAAAGAATTCTGTAGTTGAACTCTTTGGTATAGTGTCTGAGAAAAAGGCTCAGAGAGTCAAAGCAACTGACCATCGACACTAGAATGTTACCCAAGTGTTTACACAGACCATAATAGAACAAAAGGCACATGTTCTTGCTCGTCCTTGGTTTCCATTAGTTTCTTTCTACCCCTCTGTATCTATAATTAAAACAAAAACAACCAAATATGCTTGTCTGTTAACCTCAAAGTGACTTTAGCACGGAAATGTATCTGAATGCTTTTCGAGGGTGCATACAACTCCATATGCAAAGGACTGTTTTTAGGGACTAGCTCAATCTCCATTCCTATTTTAATCTTGGGTGCAGAATCCCATGCCCTAAGTGTCACAAAGGCCAACCAAGAACAAGGTCATGTGTAAAGCCTCAGATCCCTAAACCACACATCAGACACAGAGGTAAAAGATCTATATGTTCAAATTCCCTGTCTCATACCCCGAACCACGAATCCCTAGTGTTAGAAAAATCTCGTATTCCCAGTTTTCAAGTCAAGTAAAAATCTTGCTCCCAACTTCTGAGAGAGAAAGACACTAAGAAAGTTAAGTAATTTACTTGAATCTGTGCATAAACCTATAAAATGTCATTTGCCTGCTCAGCACTGTGAATTTCTCTAGCTTGATAAATAATTTCAGTGGAAAAAAAAAAAAACAAGACAAAACTGCAGTCTTTGCTTACCTTGGGGATTCTTGTGGGTTTGGGAGAGCAAGATCTGCTCTGCTTATATTTTCTGTGTCCATCTTTTTCATGAATTGGTCTATCCAGGAATGAAGGATACTGTTACCCAGAAACGTGGTGTGCTCTGGGTGGGCAGTTAAGATGAGTTGATTCTGAATAGCAATGATTATCTTCGTGCAGAACCTACTCATCAGATAAGTCCCCAAGATGATTGATATCACACGTCTTCTGTCTTGCTATAATGTTACATAATGCAAAACTGAGAAATCTACTGAATATAAAGCAGAATGACTAGGGAAATATGAGCACTTCACAGCATGAATCTGCCTGAGACATGGGATTCATGGAACCTAATATTGAAGCACCTAGGCACTGAAAAAAATAAAAGAAAGCAGAAGGAAAAACAAATGAACTCTTTGAAAGCTTCACCTACTATACCTGTCATGAGTTTTATTTTATTTTATTGTTTCTTTATGTATGGGCTCAAGGATGAAACATGTGTATTAGCATTAGTCTCAATGTCCAAATGTATCTCTGACTTCACTTCTTCACTTCCCCTCCATCTCCCTCTCCCCTACAGCTCCTCATTCCTTCTCCTTCTCCCTGTCTCCTGGATAGTATTTGCTATCTGCAGCAGATGATCTGGAAACAGCATCAGCAGAGTTCAAACTGCTGTGAACCAAGTCACTGGAACTAACCAACGTACTATTCGAGTTAAGAAATACACCTTAATCTGAATGTTTCCATAGCAACTACTGCACTCTGTAATGGCAGGAACAAGGCAAGGAAAACATGGGTGGATGTGAGCGTCATAAATAGAAATGTAATGAGCGAGCCTCAATGGTGAAAACTGAGCAGCGTGTCTCTCCAGACAGTGTTCACTCAACTATATCACAGCTAACTTCGCTAGAACACAATGAACAAGAGGGAAGCCAGAGGTCGGCCTTGCTTATATTTCAGTTTAATTCTGAGTGCTTTTTCATAACTGCAAGATACTGTGCATGATACCCTAATCACCTAAGTTATTTTCCTGAAATATAATAAAGTCTCTCAAGAGAACTTAGCTATATATGTGAATAGAGGATTATAATGTGCATATTGGCATATCTTTCATAATAAAATGTAACTGTCCCAGCTACCTTCTAACAGATACACTATTTGAATTAAGAAATAAGCCCTATCTTCATATTTATTAATGCAGAAAGGCCTTGATGCTTCTTGCTTTTGATTGCTCATGTCGTGAAGCAAGCACCTCGATCCCAATCTTACCTAGCACACAGATGAGAAGAAAAATGATTATCCAGAAGATCAGAGGCTACTGGAACATGAAGTTACGATAGTGCTACCTGATAGAGAACTCATAAATTTCAGAGATGGAATTCCCAGGGAAGGTGATTATCTGAGCCCAGCCTTAAAATGGTTGGCTTAGAAATTTCATTCCCTTCCCAACCTTTGCAAAACTACCTATGTCTGCAGGAAAACGTCCTAAAGCAAGGTAATGGTCCTTTACGGTGGCATTTCCTAGTTTCCTAGAAACGTCTAATAGTTTATGCTCCACAAAGCATCAGGAATCCTATTTCGGATTTGGAGAGTTAACAGACTGAGAGTCCTTCTGTATTTGGACGTAAGGCTGCTCTGTGGGAAACTGTCAACAGCACCTCATAAAATGCGAATAGGATACGAATATGTGACTTATGACCTCCCAATTATTTCATCAGAAGCTTCATCCTTCCTCCTCCTGAGATACTTAGCACATTCTGTACTCGTATCCCATTTCCCTGAAGCCACGTGGTACTGCCTCCCACAACAGTATCAGAGCTTAGGATCACATGACTTCCTTTTGGGCTGGGTACTATTATCAAGATGGCTGGGTACTATTATCAATGCCTGTGCCTGGAAGGAAGCGATAACAGAGCTAGCATTCTACCCCACCACACAGCGTTTCTTCTCTGGCACACACAGGCATTCACGGGTCTTGACTCTGGCTTTCTCTTTGACTGTCAAGTTTCTTTGCTTAGTTTGTTATAGCCTAGATTTTTTTTCATTATATTTTTAATTTTCCTTCATTTTCATAAAAGATGTTTTCATCATGTTCATTTTCCTCCCCCAAGTCCTCACAGATCCTCCCCAGGTCCCAACACACCCAACTTCAAGCACTTTGGCTTTCTTTTCTGAGACAGGGTTTCTCTATGTAGCATTGGCTGTTCTGGACTCACTTTGACCAGGCACGGGCCTCAAACTCTCAGAGATCACCCTGTCTCTGCTGGGATTACAGGTATGTATCACCATACCAGGCTCCTTCTCTCTCTCTCTCTCTCTCTCTCTCTCTCTTTTTCTCTCTCTTCTCTCTCTCAAAAAAACAAACAAAAAACAAAAACATCAAACTATAAACACAAAAGAACGCACACACAAAACAAACAAACAAACATGGAGCCTTTTTAATGTTGGTCATCTAATCTGAAGCATGGGCCCTTCCCTGAAGAAAACTGATTATCCATTGCTCAGCAGTTATCAATTACAAATAGGTTCTTGGTTAGGGGTGTGTCCCAAAACTCAAAAGAAATTTATTTTTTAATTTTAATTTTTATTATTTTTAAATTTTATTTATTTGTTTATTACACTTTATTTACTTTGTATCCCAGCTGTAGCCCCCTTCCCCATCCCCTCCAAATCCCATCCTCCCTCTCTCATCTCCTCCCATGACCCTCCCCAAGTCCACTGATAGGGGAGGTCCTCCTTCCCTTCCCTCTGACCCTAGCCTACCAGGTCTTATCAGGACTGGCTGAATTGTCTTCCTCTGTGGCCTGGTAAGGATGTTCCCCCTTCACGGGAAGGTGATCAAAGATCCAGCCACTGAGTTCATGTCAGAGACAGTCTCTGTTCCCCTTAAAGGGAACCCACTTGGAGACTGAGCTGCCATGTGCTACATCTGTCCAGAGGTTCTAGGCTATCTAAAATTCTGGTACATTTACACAGTGGAATACTACTCAGCAATTAAAAACAAGGAAATCATGAAATTAGCAGGCAAATGGTGGGAGCTAGAAAAGCTCATCCTGAGTGAGGTATCCCAAAAGCAGAAAGACACACATGGTATATACTCACTTATAAGTGGATATTAGACATATAATATAAGATAAACATACTAAAATCTGTACACCTAAAGAAGCTAAGCAAGAAGGAGGACCCTGGGTAAGATGCTGAATCCTCATTCAGAAAGGCAAATGGGACCGAAGAGGGAGAAAACAAGAAACAGGACAGGAGCCTACCACAGAGGGTCTCTGAAAGACTCGACACAGCAGGGTATCAAAGCAGATGCTGAGACTCATGGCCAAACTTTGGGCAGAGTGCAGGGAGTCTTATGAAAGAAGGGGGAGATAGAAAGACCTAGAGGGGACAGGAGCTCCACAAGGACAGCAACAGAACCAAAAAATCAGGGCAAAGGGGTCTTTTCTGAAACTTAACTTTTAAGTCCCTTCTGAGCAAATGTTTTCTCATAGTAAATACTAACTTTACCTAAAATAAAATACTGACAACTTTTCATGTCAAAGGTTTTAAGCTAGGTTGTCTTTAGAGGGTATTTTCTGATACCTCCCACCAAGGAATCACAGCCCCTTGTCACTCTCATCTCCCACTTTCCTTTTTCCACAGTCCCCTCCCTTCTTGTCTTATATTCACATTTCCACATCTTAGAGCCAAGTCCGGGTTTAAAATATGTGATTAAGGGACCTGATAAGATTGTTGAGTGTGTAAACATGCTTTCTGCCAATCCCGGGGCCTGTGTTCAATCCCTGGAACTCACATGGTGGAATTAGAGGGCTGACTCCACAGAGCTGCCCTCTGACCTCCATACTCACACCATGGATGTGTCCACACATGCATACATGCAAACAGCAAGTAAAGAAATGTTTTATACACACACACATGCAATATGATTTCAGCAGTTCAGACTGACACCAAACTTCAGTGTTTCATCATAAATATGACTATAGAAATGGTAATGGGACAAATGGCTCTAAAGGCTCAAGTGCCAAGTGCAAACTTTGAGGGAAAAACTTTTATTTCTTTATCCATATGACTTCAGAAATGTTCAGAGCAGGAGTCATGATGATCATTCCAGCTCTAAAGTTTCCTTGAATCCTCCCTGTAGGGAGCTTTTTATCAGGTGTTATAACCCATGGCACCAGTTAGCTACCAGGATGATTGCCTAATTCATACTAACTCTCATCTGTCTATATACACTCTATCATACAAAACCATGCTTTTCATGAGGAAAACATGCAGAAAATATGGTTTTACTTTAAGGATTAACATCTCCTGGTGGGGAATACCATGAGCTACAGACTATCAGGCAAGGTTTAGATATCAGCCGTCACATCGTGTCATAAGCGGTTGTCATGACAGCTTTCTTGTGTCAAACATTCTCCTACCTACGATCCTGAAACCATTACATTTGAATGGTTAACCGGATCTATTTTATTTTTTTCCACTATAATTCCAGAATGTTTAAGCAGGTTGTTGTTGTTTTTTTTTTTTTTTTTTTTTTTTTTTCTATTCTATTTGGCTTGTTTTTTAAATCAAAAGTTTAGCTTACAAAATGCTGCACTCATGCACTCGTTCCCACTATGGATGCCTGCACTAGATCTGATAAGGCCAAGACAAGATCAGTCAGAAGACCATGAGGCAGCACTAAAACAGAGCTGGCAGATTACAAAACGAAAGAGAGAAATAGAGAGAGCATGAGTATGGGAGAGGATATGTTAGGGATTGTCCAGAAGGAGTGGGAAGGGAGAGTTGGGGGTGGATTTCAGCAAGATAAATGGATACATTATTCAAAGAATAAATAAAGGATGTTTTTAAATTGTTTTTAGTCAAAAATTTGAAATATAACCAGAATGTTAACAGGTAGTTTTAAAAATTAGATAGAGAATGTGAATCAGATACCCATATGAATCGTGAAAAGTTATATACAGAAGAAATTTGTCCTAGGTAGTAAGAACCATTATATTATGTTATTAACCAAAAATGTATTATCCTAAAAACAGGGAGAAATGTCACGGGAGTAGGAAGTTTCCAAAGAAATGTGTGTATAATTCTATATCTGAATATGGCAATATTTTAGTGAAAAGTTCTAGAATTGTTAGCTTCCTACAAGATATTTTTATAATAACAGTACAATAATGTCATTCTCTACAATCAAAACTAGGAGTCATAATAAAAACATTTTAAATATAATAATAAAAAGTGAAACAATATCTGAGACTTTGAGGAAAGGAAGTTGTTTTTGTTTTGTTTTGTTTTTTTTTTTACAAAATGCAAAATGCATAAATCATACTTTAAAGTTAAGTTGATCACAGCAAGGGTTGGGAAAACTTGAAAAATTGAAGGAAACAAAGAAACAACAAAATGGGACGGACATTGAAAGATGGAGAAAACAAGGAACAGCACAGGAGCCTACCACAGAGGCCTCTGAAAGGCTCCACCCAGCAGGGAATCAGAGTCAAACTTCGGGCAAAGTGCAGGGAATCTTATGAAAGAAGGGGGACATAGAAAGACCTGGAGGGGATAGGAGCTCCATAAGAAGAGCAACAGAACCAAAAATCTGAACAGAGGGGTGTTTTTTGAGACTGATACTCCAAACAAGGACCATACATGGAGATAACCTAGAACCCCTGCACAGATGTAGCCCATGGCAGCTCAGTGTCCAATAGGGTTCTCCAGTAATAGGAACAGGGACCATCTCTGACATGAACTCATGGGCTGGCTCTTTGATCACCTCCACCTGAGGGGGGAGCAGCCTAGCCAGGCCACAGAGGAGGACAATGCAGCCAGTCCTGATGAGACCTAATAGACTAGGGTCAGATGGAAGGGGAGGAGGACCTCCCCTACCAGTGGACTTGGAGAGGGGCATGGGAGGAGATGAGGGAGGGAGGGTGAGAGGGAATGAGGAAGGGAGGTACAGCTGAGATACAAAGTGCATAAACTGTAATTAATAAAAGTGTAATAAAAATTGAAAAAGAAACAACAATAAAATAGGTTATTCAATAAAAAAAAATACATGTGTGGTGAGCTAAGTCAGTTCATAAAATGCTTCCCGTGCAAGCAAGAAGGCATGGTTGCAAGCCAGTTGTGATGGCACAGCCAGGTACACCCAGCAGTGAAGAGAAGTTGACAGGCAAATCCCTGGAGCTCCTTGGCCAGCCAGCTGATGAGCCCTACTTCCAGAGAGAGGTCCTGTCTAAAAAAATAATGATTTTTAAAAAGAGGATAGTGCCTGAGGAGGCGTGACACCTAGGATTGTCCCTTGACCTGAGCACACGCACATCAAGAGGCGTCAGATTCTAGATACAAATTCCAGGCATGGTTAAATTAAAGTCAATATCGATTTTCTAAATTTCTCATGTGTGGACCCAGGCTTAATTATTCAGCAAATTTAAGTCATTATCACCTAATGTGCTCAATTTCCAGTCATATTTGAGTCACATATTTTATGAAAAATAAAGCCTCTTGCTTAGTAAAGATGGCTTCACACTAGAGCCAAACCATTGTCTGTGGAGATGCCATGAACCAACACAACAATCCAGATAAGTATGTAGAGTCTGTACCTCAAAATGACAGTCAACTCTACCAGAATCTGGAACTAGCTGTCATTCAGGATGTAGAGAATTCTTAGTAAGAAAATCACAAGATCCCTGTACACTGTTAACATGTTCTAATAAAGGATACTTGAAGATATATTCAAATAAAAGAAAATGGGTTATCTGTAACTTAACAGAAGTAGAATTAACAACAACAACAAAAAAAAAATATGGCCATACAGATGTTAGCCACTGACATAATATGAATGTGAACTCTTGATCTGTCAAATTCAAAAATCCTGTCCTTCATGTCTCTGCTTTGTAGTTTCCCAAGGTCCTTTGAAGAACAAAAGCCACTAATCCAATCAACCATTGTGTTGGGACATGTATGACTCCAAGAAGCTGATGGAAATAGAATCTGAATCTTAGAGCGTAAATTAATCACAATGATTTTCTTTTTACTTGCTAGGCTTGTCATATGAATGTCAGCAAAAAACAAGATTTTTTTTTCCTGTGCTAAAAAAGCTGGCTCATTCTCCTTCCCGTGTGCCTTCGTCAGGGTTTCTATTACTGTGATGAAACACCATACCAAAAAGCTAGTGGGGGAAGGGCAGGATTTATTTGTCTTGCATTTCCAGATCATAGTCCATCGTTGGAGGAAGTCAGAGCAGGAACTCAAGCATGGATGGAAGCTAGAGGCAGGAGCTAATGCAGAGGCCGTGGAGCAGTGTTGCTTATGGATTTGCTCCCCGAGGCTTTCTCAGCCTGCTTTCTAACATAACTGCTAGCTCAGGGACAGCACCACCCACCATGGGCTGGGCCCTCCCCCATTGATTACTAATTGAGAAAATGCCTTACAGCTGGATGTCTTGGAGGCATTTTCTCAACTAAGGCTTCTTCCTCTCTGATGACTCTGACTTGTGTCAAGTTGTCACCCAATACCACCCCGTACACCATGAGATGGCTGCAACATGGATTTTATGGAGAATGTACACAATAGGGTTTACAGATGGGTGTGATGGCTCACACCTGTAATCTTAGCAGATGAGAGGCGAAGGCAGGAGGATGGTGAGTATAAACTATCAAATTGAGTGTGTTTGTGTGTGCCTGTAATTCTGAAACTTAGGAGGTAAAGACAGGAAGATCAGTTCATAGATCTTGGTTACATAGATTGTTAGAAGCCAGCCTACAGGACATGAGACACTCTGCTTAAAAAAAAAAAAAAAAAAGGAAAAGAAAAGAGAGAAAAAAGAGAAAGAAAGAAAATTAAATATTGTATGTTCGTTCATCCTTAATCCTCACACAGCTATGGAGTAACAGAAAAAAACAAAAGAGATTCAATTTCTAGAAACAACTTTGAAAAAATGACCATAGAATTTGCAAATCCAAGAAGGCCTAAGGAAATATATTTATTCATCCAGATCTAGAACAGGCGAGTGGATTTACAGGGAAGGGAAAAGGATTGGGACAAATGCACAGGTTTCGCATAAATATCGCCATGACAGAAGAATTGCATTTCATCTGCTCATGCTCTCCTGAAATCTCATGAGACGTTCTCACTCTTAGGTGACTTGAGGCTAAGTGTTCGGGTTCTCGGAATCACTTCCATCAGGAGGCATTCCCGATTCCACAGAATTAGGAGGTGAAGAGATTGCCTAGAAAATGAGACATTGGTTATCAGGAGGAGGAGCATCATCTCTCTTCTCCACTCCATCCTTTCTCATTACCACCACAATCACTACCACAGATCCACAGATGTTCCTTCATCGGTGATTACCCTGTTAAACCCTGAATTATGATTATATGCATATGGATCAGGAAGCAATCGAAACATTTGTATTTTCATTTCTGTGGGTTGCTGCTACAGAAGTGGTTGCAGAACTGAGTGTGGAGATTGGGGGCGGGGGAAGTCAAATGCATAACAGATCCAAGGGGCTCCTGGCCACGGTTGCCCTTGTTGAATTGCAAGCATGCCTTCAGTGCAGACATGGTTCCGAACACACAGCTGCTGCCACACCACAAAAGTCAGTGAATGCTGCTTCGGTTGGATACTATTTGTTTGTTACGAATGCCAGCAACCTCCCTCTCTTGAAAGCGTTCTAGCATAATTACAGAAAACAACTACCTCTAACATTTTCTACTATCCTTCCTTAGCACGGATCAAGTTAGTATATTTTTGGGTTGTTTTCTGTTAGAGTGCTTGATTTTAAAAGTTGCTGTTTGGACTGTTGACTTGAGTTTCAAAAAAAAACATTGTTGAGTGAATTTTGGCTTGGGATTAGGAAAAAATTTCCAGGATTTTTCAAAATGGCCATAAACATACTAAACGTTTCTGTTGTTTTGTTCTATATGATAATGCAGAGCACTATTTCTCAGCCTTGACAATAATAAAATCAAAACATCAACTTTCAGAAATGTGAAGATGAGCTCCATCCTGCAGCATCCAATATTTAGCCAGGATTTAATTGTTATGAAAAATAAACAAGCACATTCATTTCATTAGTACGCAAATCAGCTTTGGTCTTTAAGAGGTGGTAAAATTATGTATCAACCAATTGTTTAAAACAAATTTCTTTATGATTTACTATCTACAAATGTTTGATCTTCATACCTATTTTGGTTTTTTTTCTTTTTATTTATTCTTTTCTCATATAATACTTTTTGACTGCAATTTCCTTTTCCTTTACTCCTCCCAGTTAATGCCTTCCACCTCCCCTCCCCCCCAGATCCACTGCTCCCCCATTTCCCTTCAGAAAAGAGCTCCTAGGGATATCAACCAAAAACAGCATAACAAGATGCAATAAGCCTAGGCACAAACCCTCAAATAAAGGCAGGATGAGGCAACCCAGTAGGAGGAAAAAGGTCCCAAGAACAGGCAAAAGAGTCAGAGACACCTCTATGCCCACTGTGAAGAGTCTCAGTATGGTTTTATAAAGCTTTCTTGGGCAAAAAGAAATTTCAAGTGGAAAAAAAATTTAAGAAGATGAATTAGAAGATCTAAATGTCTATCACAAATATGTGGTCATTCTGAGTTATACACCTCAAAAGCAAAACCTTATAAGAAAATAATTAAAATTAATTTTAATTGCATTAAAATGTATATTAATATATAACTTGGATTTTCAAATCTGAATCATTTCCAGCCTTACTTCATCTCACACATTGATTGAACAAATAATTTCCAAAACCCCACAAATCATAACTACATAAAAGTTTCTTATTCTAAAAGTCGAAAATAACTTCAACCATTGTGGGATTTACAGACAATGGAACTTGCTCATCACTTACAAAAACTCACCTCTTTTGAACCACAAACATTTCCCAGGCACCACATGGCTGAGATAGAAATGGCCAAGGCCAGCTGCAGCAGGGTGAGAATCAGCATTAAAGACACCAGGCCCTAGGGAAATGATGTCTCAGATCAAATCAGTGGAAACATTCAGAGGGAAAGATTGTCAGCATGAAACCCAGACTGAAAAACCCTCAAAATGCAATAAGGTGTGACACATTAGACTTAAGATACAGACACACAACTTCTTAAGAAGGGCTCCAGCATCAATGCCAAATCATGAAACTCTTGTCTTGGAAGAAAGATGTATGTTATTTCTGAACTAGTCAAGGGAAGAAGAATCATAGAAGAAAAATTCTGACACTATCATTAACATTTAAAAAATGTAATAAATTACAAAAATTAATACACAGTTTAGTAAAATGGGCAAAAAAAATATCCCTTCATGATTTCACCTACAGCATTTCAGGAGGTAGGCACAGGCATTTACATTAGGTTTATAGACCAAAACACAACGCTGGGAGAAATACAACACAATACTCCCAATATTGCTGAGGATCCAGAAGAACTGCATAATCCAATTTCTACATAGGGAAAAATACCACTTAATCCAGGAAAAATAAACATGGATAAATACAAACTTAGGTGTCTAAAATTATAATAAAGGAAGAAGGAGAGAGATGGCTCAGCAGTAAAAAAGCACCTGTTGGTCCTGCACAGGACCCAGGATCAGTTCCTAACACCAATATGGTTTGCCACACCCATCTGTAACTCTAGTTCCAGGAGACCCAATACCCTCTTCTGACTTCTTCAGACATCAGGCACACACACACACACACAGTATGCATACATACATACAAACATATATAATGTAGGAAACATAATCACATAGTCATAAAAAACCTAGCCCCAATAATTAGATAGATAGATAGATAGATAGATAGATAGATAGATAGATAGATAGATATTTAGATAGAGCTAAGTTGATAGTGTGTGCCTAATATTCACAAACATTACAGATCGCAGAATAAGTGGTCTGTCTCTGAAGTTTGTTTCACCAAACAAAAGATACGTGAAATGAATCAATGTATTTTCTCTGTATAGTATAGTAAATAGTAATAATAAACGCAACATGATGGCTAAGCACTGTTTTCACTACTTATCAAATATTGATATATTGAATTTTATAGCAGTCCATTAGGTGGGTGATACCATTATTGTCTTCATTTTGAAGATAAGAAAAGTAAAACAGACAGATTGTCTTAGGTGTCCTCCATTAAAAAAAAAACAAAAACTAATAAATAGCAAAGCCAACATTCAAGGTAACATATCATACAACAATACTGCTTTTCTGTTTATTTTGAGTGGTTTAAAATATATCCACAGTTTTAAAACATACGTTTGATGAGGAACCCAGGTAAAAGCATAAGTCAGGTGACTGTGAAGACTGGCAAGCCTGGAATGCCTGTGTACTGAATGCCAGGTGTATAGAAAGGAAAACAGTGCCAACAAACGCAATTGTCGCACTGGCAATGTTCATCCCAAAACTGTTCTGCATCTAAAACAAAACAAAACAAAACAAAAGTCCATTAATATACGTAGAACAAGCCGGGCATGGTAATGCACACCTTTAATCCCGGTACTCAAGGAGGCAGAGGCTCATGGATCACTGTTAATTCGAGGTCAGCCTGGTATAAAGCAAGTCTAGGACAGCCAGGGCTACACAGAGAAACCCAGTCTCAAAAAATAGTGTGTGTGTGTGTGTGTGTGTGTGTGTGTGTGTGTGTGTGTTAACCCCTTCAGAACATTCCATTTAAAGAAACATCTATTTACATACCCAACAGCATTTTAGCTACAGGGCAATCTCCTCTGAACAAAGATTTCTCCTTAGCACAAGGAACTTACATGTAGCAACAAAGACAGGGAAGGCGTTAGGATACACAGCTCAGTTGGTAGACTCTTGATTAGCATGCAGGCAGCCCCAGGATCAAACTTTAATACTGCATAAACTGGGTGTGGCTGAGGACACCTACAATTCCAGCACTCTATGGGTGATGGCAGGAATTACCATTTAAAACTAGCCTGTAATATATGAGACCCTATCTCACTTTAAAAAAAAAAAAGAGAGAGAGAGAGAGGACCCTAACTAAAATGTTCAATCCCCATCCTGAAAGGCAAAGAGGATGGACATCAGAAGAAAAAGAAAATAGGAAACAACCTCGGAACCTGCTACAGAGGGCCTCTGAAAGCCAGAAGAAAACAGGAAACAACCTTGGAACCTGCCACAGAGGGCCTCTGAAAGCTTCTGCAGTATAGACTGTCAAAGCAGATGCTGAGCCTGATGGCCAACTGATGGGCAGAGTGAATGAAATTTTATGTAAGAAGTGCGAAATAGTAAGAGCTGGAGGGGACGGGAACTCCACAAGCAGAGCAACAGAACAAGATAATTTGAACACAGGGAACTTCCCAGAGACTCATACTCCAACCAAGGACTATTCATGGAGATAACCTAGAACTCCTGCACAGATGTAGCCCATGGCAGTTCAGTGTCCAAGTGGGTTACATAGTAATGGGAAGAGGGACTGCCTCTGACATAATCTGATTGGCCTGCTCTTTGATCACCTCCCCCTGAGGGGGGAGCAGCCTTACCAGGCCATGGTAGAGGACAATGCAGCCAATTTTGATGAGAACTGATAGACTAAGATCAGAAAGGAGAGGAGAACCTCCCCTATCAGTGGACTTGGGGAGTGGCATGCATGCAGAAAGGGGAGGGAGGGTGGAATCAGCAGGGGAGGAGGGAGGGGCTTATGGGGGGATACAAAATGAATAAAGTGTAATTAATTAAAAAAAATAAAGCTGCTATAAATACTGTTGAGGAAATATTAAAAAAAACAACAAAACAAAACTACAGACACACTAGTATTTAAATTATGACAATTTTTAAGTAAGTATTGAGGCTGAAAGAAAGGTGTAACAAAAATGGAAATCTAGATAAAGAAGTAGAGGTTTGTGACATTAAGTAGTAACATATAGAGACAGGAATAAGTAACTGGGTGCTTCGCTAGATGGTCCAGAGGAGGTCTGGATAAAGACAGCTCAGAGTTCCATAGGCCACAGTGTTCTCAGGAAGCAAGGAAAGCAAGGTGGATAAGATTAGGAAACTGAGTAAGAATTAACAGAAAAATATATTATGTAAAGCTCTGGGATTCATAAAAATTTCTAGTTTTAATTCTGATAAAGATACTTATTTGGGTGATGAATTTATATAGTGGAAAAGGACATGGACTAGAACACTCAAGTAGGGGTATCAGCTTTAAAGAAAGTCAGTGAGTTCTTCCATGGTAAAAGTAGAGGACACATACGCTGGGACAGATCTATTGCACACAGCAGATGTTATAGTACTTGTATGTGTGTGTGTGTGTGTGTGTGTGTGTGTGTGTGTGTGTGTGTGTGT